TTTAGAATGTAAAAAACAGTTTTTCAAAAACAGAAGAAAAAAACAAGGAATACAAACGTACCCATAAAGTTTGAAGAATTTACGCGGTAAAAAAAAACTAGAAACAAAACAACCAAAAAGAATCAACAAATTAAATTAATTGAGAGATAATTCGACAATCATTTTGGCACAAACAGACCACAAGCTATAATATGAGAAGGCAGCAGTGGTGTCAAGCCGTGGAGAATCTTGTGCTGGAAGGAATATTTGGCCTTATTCAAATGGCTCTCTCAAATTTTTCAGACATTGTCCCATAGCCGACAGCTTTAAAAAAAAATTTCCCGCTGACACGGCCCGGTACCCATAGATTTGTACCACAAACTTGTCAGGACAGTACATGTCCGATTTTTTTTTTTCTCGACCATAATCTGAGTAATTAGCCCCCTTAACGATTTTTTTTTCAAATTGCTACTATAAAGAGTCACATGATAGTCACATATCTGACAACTATTATATAAAAAAAATACCAAAAATGTAAAATCTTTTTGATGAAAATTATTAGTCCTTAAACTTAGTGTCAAAAATATATTTTACTTGAAAAATTTTTTAGCTTTTAAACTAAGTACTTAGTATCAGAAGAATATTTTACATGATACTTAGTGTCAAAAAGGATATTTTTACATTTTTTTTGGCTTTTTTTATAGAATAGTTGCCGAATATATGATTATTACATGACTTTTTTCAGGTAGCAAATCGGAAAAAAATCCGTCAACAATACTAAATGTACTCAATAGTTGAAAGATTGGATACCGAATTTATTTTCATCCAAAATTTGGAGACTAAAACTGCTCATGGGCCAAAGTTTGGATACAAAAATTGCATTTTTCTCATTCAGCATTTAGGGATCATGAATTCAATCCATTAGCTCTGATGTCAAACGGATGACATCATGAGTATATCATAAATATATATAAATAATATATAAAAAAATCTGAAATTGGTGTCTTATAACTTTATATATAGGTTTGATGAGTTTAAACTTAACCCAAAGCATTTCACTTCAAAATTTTAAAAAGTTATAGGTAAAAAATGTAATTTAGAAATTATAACAGGTTAATTTTATATTTTATTGAAACAATGTGGAGTCAAAATGAATTTATTAATTTTAAGGCATCTAAAGATAATAAATACTAGACGACCTTGTTTGGATTGTTGCTTTTCGCCAGAAAATTACGTCGTTTTCCGTGATATTATCTTTTTCCCTCACATACATCAAATCGTTTCAGTAATTTTTCCATAAAAAATGACGAAAAATACAATCCAAACGGGGACTTAGGCCTTATTTGGATTGCTACTTTCCGTCAGAAAATTACGTTATTTTTCGTGATCACATTCCTATTACCTTTTTCCCTCACATACATCACATCGCTACAGTATTTTTTCCATGAAAAATGCAATCCAAACACAATCTTAGTTTTCTTAGCCGCCCCTTCCTTTGCTCTTCATCTTGTATTTGCTTCTTCTACTTTGTTTTTTCTTCTTTCTATCCGCTATTAGGTCCATAACTCTCCTATTTTCTTTTATCCCACACAAATCAAATACATACAAAAACTATCTTTTTCTTCATTATTTTCTTTTTTCCTTTCTCTTTGTTCTCTTCCCTTCTTTGCTCTTTTCCATTTTTTCCTCCTATTTAACTTCAAATCTTTCAAAACTTAGTTGCATGAAATCGGGCTTAGTTAATTTAGAGAATGAAAAATTTCTTCTAATGTAGGTTTATGACTTTGTTTGACACTAATTCTTGGCGTTGTTCAGAGATCAAAGAAATGGGGAAAAAAGTGAAGAAGAAGAAGACGCTGTCAGAATGGCAATGAGTTTGGTTTCTTCTTTTTTTTTTTTTTAGTTTGGATATTTTGAAGTTATACACTTTCTCAATGACTTTTAAAAAATCCCTCAATTTAGTGTAGAGGATATGGCATTAGATTCTCACAAAACGCAATGCTTTCTCATTTACTTTATGCTACTTTGCTTCTAGTTAATCTATTCCATGGTGCTTGTTTTTCAAAAAAAAAAAAAAAAAAAGGTCATCAAAATGGAAATTTTGGGACAAAAAAACCCAGTTCTAATCAAATTTACCAATTCCGAATCAAACCCAATTTTTAATCGAGTTTAACTAAGTATTTAACTATCGATTTTAAAGAGATTTAGACCAAATGGCTTGGTTCTTGATTCGATTAGTCAGGTCAGCTCAAAATTTAAATCATAGGATGATAGAGGGTGCTATCGCGGCAGGAATGGTAAGGAGAGCAATGTGGCATTATTTAAATATTTTTGCCCCTGAAAACTTACAAATTTGGTTAATTTAGCATAAAGTGATCCTAAAGACTCGTTTTAGGGAGTTGAATGAACTTTTTGGCCTAAAAAAAAGAGGTTCAATGACTAACTCGTGCCATTTTAAATTGTTTAGTGATCATTTTCAAAAATTTTAAAATATATTTTTAAAATATTCAATTTTTTTTTCTTTCTTCTTCTTCCTTTCCCCAACTCAGCTACTACCATCATTGTTGACGTCAGTACCAGCACTACCATTATTTTCTTTTTTTTTCTCTCTCTCTTTTCCTCCTCCGCCGCCTTTCCTCTTCCTCCTCCCTCCCTCTCCTACTCCCCTCTCCCTTACCTTGCCACATCTAGCCCTACAACCAGGGTGAAAGGAAAGGGGAAGAAGAGGGTAGCAGCATAAGGGAAAGGAGAAGAGGGGAGAAAGAGAAAAGATATAAGAGAGGAGGAAGAGGAAAAGGGAAAGAGGAGAGAGATGGAAGAAAAAAAAAAAGGCTATCGACGGTGGCCAATTTTGGGGCGAGAGAGAAGGAAGAGCAGTGGTGGTGGGATGGGGAAGTGATGTGATGGGGAAGAAGAATAGTAGAAGAAAGAAAAGAAAAAGAAAAAAGGAAAGTTTTTACACCCTTGAAAAAGTTTTCTTGCAAATTCTAGAGTTAGTTACAATAAAATTTTAGACAAATATCTAAAAAAACTCATTTGTCAAATGGGACACCAGTTTGAGATGATAGAGATCATAATAAAGTACACATTAGAATAATTGTCCCTGAGCAGTTAATGACCATGATTAGTCATAAAGAAAATGTAAGGCTAAAATCAATACATGTTCATCATATTTAATGTCATGCACGGGATTCACAAAAATAGGTTCTATAATTACTTTTTGTTAAAAGTGAATTACATCACGAAGAAAGTAAGGTGCATCTTATGAAATTAGACAAAAATCGATACAAACGATTGAGCTGACCAGCGTTTATGCCCCAAATTCGACGCTTGTAAAGACAGTGGCAGAGAGATTTGGCGTCACGAGTGACTTCAAGTTCCATACACTGTAATCTGCATTAGCAAAAGTTGGAATTAATAGATTTGATTGACGGCGGAGTGTGCACGTCCATCAGCATCGCACGCTACTCTGAAAACTAATGCTAGCAGTAGTACCTAACACGAGTCGTGTGCTGCACTGGAGCTTGTCATCTCGATAACACCCTCCATCAATCCTTAATAATAATAATTAATGTATTTTTCCAAGACTTTTTACAAGTTATGCAGATTAAAATCGGCACTCAGATTTGCATCGTCCGGGATTCTCCACACCTACAATTTACTGAAACCCCAGGTCCGAATTTTCTATCCGCCCTTTAACTCCACCAAAGGTCAGAAAGTTGAAAAGTACAAGTTGGGCTCTCTGTCTCCGTCCCGTCATATTAGCCCAATTATTATAACTGAGTCAGCTGGCCGTTTGGAAGTCTCTGTGTGTGTGGTTTTTTGGGCCTTTTAAAAACGGCTTTGTCACAATCAAGGTAGAAAAGCTAAGGCAAAGTATACAGGCCTTAATCCAGCTCAGCGTTCCACAATCATACCAGTCCATTCGTTTATGACCTCACAAAATTTAACAACAAAGAGAACAGGCCTTTTTGAACTTTTACAAAATATTGCGGCCCTGCGATTAACCACCACCATCTCGTTCGAACACTTTAAAGTCATAAACCACTACCAGCTGGAAACTCGGCCAGTTTTTATCACAGTCTACATTATGTTTTTTAGGGATTAAAAAAATTGAAATATTATGGTACATAACCCGGTCTTGGACGGTTTATTCTATCAACGCAGGACACGTGGTACTTTTGAATTCCGAGCGGTAAAAATCGACAGCCAGAAAAGATCATTGGCTTCTTCCTCCTTCAGAGCTCTCTGCTTCGACAAGTAGACTAGTGTCTACTAATGCGTATGTGTGATCACTCCTCTCTTCCTCCTCAAATATAAGATTTGACAGTTGCATGGATAGTTCCTTTGATACTTACTTGTCATTTCATAATGCAACAACTGGAGACTGTAGGAGTAGTAAGAGGATTCATCATTTAGAAGCAGCGGCGGATTTACGCTGGGAGCACACTGCCGCTTTAAATTTTTATGTTACCTGTAAAACTTTGTTGTAATTTCAACTGTCTCCTGAAATTTTATGTATATATTATTGGTTTATAGGAATTTTATGTATATATTGATTTATAGGCCCCCACTGCCTCTCTTAAGTTTCTATAATACCTATAAAAATTTGATGTAATTTCAAGTGTACTCCCTGAAATTTTATGTATCTATTGATTTATATATACTTTTAAAATTATCTTTGATTTTACCTGTTATTACAGTTATCGTTTAAAGGATTTTTGAATGACAGTAAAAAAATCGATTACAAAATAGAATAGAAGACACTAGGATTAATAATTATTAGGTTACTTATATTAAGAGAGATATATTTCGTAAAGTTCAAAATGAAAAGGTTATAAACCGTTATCAAAATATGAAAACTTGTCATGAATAATTGTAAATGATTTAATTTACTTTCAAAATAAAATTATTATTACATTAATAATTTTGAGTTTGTCTTTTGATATTTTTCATAAAATATATGTATCATTTGTACTTGTTGTTGATGAATTTTTTTTTTCCTTAAAAAACTAAAAAAATAGTAGATAAAAAATTTGACCGAAAATTTTTTCCCACTGTTTAGAAGTCACTTTTACATAATGTTGACGCAGGAATCTTTGTCGACGTTGACCCAGAACCGGCTCCCAGCAGGCTAGAATGCTTTCTCTCTCTGATTGGTTGGGCCACTGCACCTCCATCAATGAGTTTTACCCTCTTATTCTGCTCATGGACGTCTGACGCTGCCCTGCCTCCAGTCTTGGTCTCGTTGAATTGGTCATTCATCCAAGGGACACAATCCGGCAATCTCAAAACTTTCATTAATCACCTGCTAGGCATTTACCTGCCCCTTTCATTTTGTCCCGTTACATAATTAATGCCCAAAGAGAATCTTTTTTTTTTTTTTTTTTTTATTAAACTTAAAACAAGGGATCCCCTATTCCCCACTAAAATTTCATAACATATACTACTGCTTATCACGGCAGAAGAACAGTTCAACTTTAGTTTCTATGAGCAATTCCCCACCAACCAAGGCCAAATGACTTTTCCTGGTCCCTAGACCAGAAAACTGTTGGAAACTCCCCCTCCCCATTCAAAAATCGAAAAAAATACCCACCTTCCTCCTTCCCTCCCAGAAGAAAAATAACAGAAGAAGTAGAACAGCCTTAAACGCAAGAAAGAAAAAGAAGAACCTTGATTTGAAGATCCATATTGCAATCCTAATTTAAGAATGTCCCAGCAGATGCTAGTATAGTAGTACCAAGTAATTGAACTAAAATGACTACTTTTAAGAAGCCAGTCTTGCCAAACCCAAAAGAGTAATCCAGCTTCCCAGTGCATGAATTACAAAACAACAACAATTGAAGACAAAATTTGTGTCACCAATAAATGAAAACTATAAGAAGTAAAGGAAAGGCATTATGAACATGCACTGATCTCACTAGGAAACTAAAAAAGGGGGGGGGGGGAATGGAAAGCTAATTTGCACGTGTCTGGGAAACAAAAAAAAAAGGTCTCACTTTTCACGTTATTGGAATTGTCCTCCCTTAAAAAGAGAAATTGATACACCACCACCAAGTAATAGGTTCTTCCGCATTCACATACAAGATATTCTCAAAAGGCAAATGAAACCTAACTCAAGCAATGCTCTGCACTACCTAATCCCGGGCTATGCATGCAAACATAGCCCCAACATAGGACTTGAAACTGACTGTTCTAAGTCAAACTGATAAAAATATACCAATTTCCAGCTACAATTATCAAACTACAGGAATCAACCTTGCCATTCTTTTCTCAAGCTAAGATTCCCGGTACAGAATTATTTGCCACTTTACACATCAATCATTCGTGCTCACAATTGACACACAAAATGCCATGTACCAAAAGTATCCATCCAGCAGCGCTGGAATACAATGGATCATCAAATTGCTTACTCAAATGAGAAGAACTAGAACAGCAGCAAGCTCAAGCTAATCTCGAAAGTAAAGATTTTCCCCTTATGGCAAAACATCATCAAAAGGCAAATTTGAATGATTGATACTGAACCATAAGCTAAACACAACCTTTCAAATTAAAACTTTGCCCATTTCGCCAAATTTCTATTCCTTCTCTTTTTGCCTAAAATACATCATCCACTATCCATTCCATCACATCGGCCAACAGTAATTTTCTCCATTTCATGAAAATAAACTTACACAATGAAACTCGCAAATAAAAGAGAGAGAGAGAGAGCGGGGGGGGGGGGGGAAAAATTAAAAAAAAAAAACTTTTCTTTTCTTCCCAGGGGCTGGCAAGAAAAATCAAGAAGAAGAAAAATGCGGACGTGGAGGAGGCAATAATTGGTGGGTCTGATGAAGCACCTGGGTTTGATTATTGGCGGAGCTAGCACTAGCCAAGGAGGAGCTGGGAGAACTGTACTGGAGGATGAAAGGATGGCGCAACAACTGCGCGGCGGTCCACCGCTTAGCAGGGTCCCTCTGGAGACAAGAAGCAATAAAATCCCTAAACTCTCTGGACGCCGTCTGCGGCACCTCCGGAGGGTCCGACATACAAATGGCGCACATGAGGGTGGCCCAATCACCTTGCCTGCCGACCGCAAACGGAAACCTTCCCAAATAGAATTCCAGTATGCTGACGCCCAAGCTCCATATGTCACCCGCATAGCCGTCGTACTTGCCATGATTCAGATCGGTGTTGATTCTCTCGGGACTCATGTAAGCAATAGTGCCGACGGAGGAATTGCAGGGATCCATAGTCTGGGCTAGGATTCTGGAGACGCCGAAGTCGGCGATTTTAACGGTCCTCTTGGAGTTGATGAGGAGGTTGGAGGGTTTAATATCCCGGTGAACGATCTTACGCTTGTGGAGATAGTACAAGCCGGAGAGAATCTGGCGAGTGAGATCGGAAAGGGAGGGCTCGTGGGGGATGTGGATCCCCTCGAGGGAGCCCTTGTCCATGTACTCGAGGAGGACTTGGATTTCACCGTTGAGGTCGTTCATGTCGTGGCATCTAACCACGTTGGGGTTGTCGACGTCGCGGAGGATCTCGATCTCGCGGCAGATCTGGAGGCGGACAGAGTCATCGAGGTAGCCATAGATGACCTTGAGGGCGTAGAGTTTGCTGGTGGGACGGTGGAGGACTTTGTAGACGGTGCCGCCGCTGCCGCTGCCGATGCGATTGATCCTCTCCAGCTGGGAGAAGTTTAGGGGAGGGGAAAAACAGGAGGAGGAGGTGGAGGAGGAGGATGGGGCGGAGGTGGGCGGGAGGGGAAGGGGGACAGCTAACTTGGGGTCTCGCTGGGGAAGCGGAAGAGTAAGGTCGGGGCGCCGCCGCGAGCGGTTGCGATTTGATGCGGGGGAGGAGGAGGAGGAGGAAGAGGGAGGGGTAGCCGCGGAGGAGGCGGCTGGCGGCGATGGTTGAATCGGTCGCATGATTAGCTCTCCTCTAGGGGTGTTTGGATTGATTTGACCGACCGACCGACGGATTATCTAAACCACCTTCCAAAAAATCTCCACCCCAAAAAAAAAAGAAGGAAAAACTAGCACTGTATCAATAAACAAACGGACGGACGGACGGACGGATACTGCCCCCCCACCCCCAGTTTTCAATTGGTCCGGAATAAATTCCCTCACCCGTGTTTGTTTTGGGTTGTCTTTCGTTGAAGATATAGATGTCTAGGTTATTGATTGATGACAAAAATGAAATGGAATTTCTATAAACGAACCCCCTAAAAAGAAAAAAAGGAAAACCCAGAGAAAAATACAAAATAAAATCTGGGACTAGAAAGTAGCAGTACTAAAATTTTTCTAGCAAAAGAAAAGCTTGGGACGAAAGAAGGGGAGGGGGCGGGGTTCGTGTTTTAGCAACTGGTATAATTGTTTATTGGGCGGGTCAGGGTGGATGGGGGGTTGTTAATTGTTACGGTGGGGGTTGTTTCTGCAAGAAAGAGGGCAGCCCCATCCCATGGTGGTGGGGGAGGGAAATGGAGGAGTACAATTAGGGGAGAGGAAGGAAATGGAAGCGAGAGAAAATCGAGTACGGGAAGAGGATGAGAAGAGCCTGAAGACGGAGAGAGAGCGGAAGGTTCTTGGAAGGAGAGAAAGACAAGGGTGACTTCTGTCTGATTGAGTCGTGAAAGAGAAAGAAAGCTACGAGTACGAGTAGTTTGGTAGGAGAGAGAGACTTTTGCTAGTTGTATTTTATTTTTAATTTTATACTCCCCTCTTATTTTTTATTTTTTATAACAGATGTTTAAGAAATTTATTCTAGTGTATTTTTATCTGTCATTTTATTATCTCCATACAGTATTAATTATTTTTTTTATAATCTTACCCTTTTATCTCTCTTTTCTAATATAGGGTTCTTAATTATTATTCCTAATAATTATTGCTTGGTGGGAGTTAATTTACACTGTTTTTGCCCTAGTGAAACAGTATCATTTAGTATTCTAGTAAAAGAAAATATGAGTAAATTGGACAATTAATGAGGGTACAAAAGAAAGTAGTGTACAGATTTAAGCAATGAAAAATTTTTCTTAATTGGTGTGCAAAATCTTGAACGTCAGTTATAAAAAAAGGGAGGGAATAAGCAGCAGTAGGAGTAGGAGTAGTAATAGTAGTGTACTTTAGGTTTGAAATAAATTTTTTTTTTTTGAGCTCTCATTTATTCTCTCATATAGGAGTACTACTGTATCAAAGATGAGGAGGAAAAAAAAAAAAAAAAAGGGCTTTGATTTCATGTGTATGAATGATGGTACATATTGCCAGGCCACCAAGTGGGCGATAGGGTGGAATAGCAGCAAAATGTGGCATATGGTGGCATAGCAGCAAGTTATGGGTAAATTAATTACAGCTTTGGTAGCAATTGGTAGCGTAGAGATCAATTGCTCTATAGAGAGTTTATTCGTCTGAAGACAACTATTGGTACGAACTACTGGTACTACATCTTCTTTTTTTTTTTTTTGTTGTAATTTTTAAAGACAAGTAAAAAAAAAAGGGAATAGAATTGGATCAACTCCAGGTGCTGAAACTAATTTGGCATACTTTTTTTTTGTCATTCATCGCTATTTTATTTATATCCTATTCTATCCTAATCTATTTAAATAGAGTTTTAACTGGACCTATGAAGGACAATTGAAGACTAAATTTTCATCGGACTAAACGGATGTACTACGTATCCGTTTGAATTTACTTTTTTAAGCCAAGGGGCGAGGGGGGGGGATAATTGGATCAACTCTTGGTGCTGGAACTAATTTGGCATGCTGGAACTAATTGGAACTAATTTGACACTCGTAAGAACCTAAAAAGAGTGGAAAATGTAGTAGCTCCATTTAATGAAGGTGTGTGTGGATGGGAACGGTCACACAATTCGCAACAGTAATAAAACGGCCAAGCAAACTTCGAGAGACTCAGAAAGTTTATCGAGTCAGCGGGGGGGTTTTTTTTTTTTTGGCTTTTACGTTCTTTAAACAAGCAAGTGTAATTTATATTTACAATTTGCAAATTTATTAAAGCAAAAAAATGCATCAATATACTCACGTAGTAGTAGTTGTACGTATAAACACGAGACAGAGTGGATTTGAAACGAAGCACCAAAGGTCAAACTTAAACTTTGGTCGCAAGTTTGAAAAGCCCGTCTTCCCTCTCAGGTCCCTCCATTTTCCCTTTTCCTGCCTTGTCCAAAAAAGATTCCTCTACGTCTCCTCTCTCCCCCTTTCACACCGCCCCCCGAAGCTCCCCTCCTACTCCTCAGTCGCCACAATATATATAAACAAAAAAAGGAAGAAGCAAAGAAACGACCCCTCCCCTCCCTTGTTGTTGTTTATGGCTTTTTTTACCTTCTCCTCCTCTTTATTTTGTATACCTGTAGTAGTAGTAGTAGTACCGGTGGACTACTTAGCAGGGAAGTTCATTTTGAAAAATAGATGGCACGTTGCGGTCAGCATTTTGTTTTTTGTGCTGTGTTTGTTTTTGCTTGTGTGAGCGTGTCCTACTCCTTACCTAATATAATTGAAATTGATCAACAAATTTGATGCATTGATGATATATTTCCTCTCCGCCTGCCTTCTATCGTTTCGGGGGAAAAAAAAGATGTATTTTCTCTCCGCAGTCAGTCCCCAGAGAGAGAGAGAGATGACTGATGAGATGGAGAGATATTCGAGCGAGATTGGATGGAGAGGTGATGGTCAAAGCAAGGAAGGATGGAGGTACGGGAGTTGACTTTTCGAACAATGACAAAAGTGACGCAGGCTCATTCTTAATTCTTATTGATCGAGGAATGGATGGGTTGCCGCTCCACCGGGACGGGAACTCCCCCTTTTTTTTTTTTGGACAGAAATTCTCCATCCCCCAGCTGCCCAAAACCTCTTCACACTGGGACTTACTTTTTGATTGATAGGAAGCGTATGGTTTACGAGGGTGACTGGTGCTTGTGGGTGGGTCCCGTCCTAGACTGCATGTGGTAAGTTCCAGAGAGGCCAGATGTCCATCCGTCCCATTTCTCCTCCCGACTCCTTTGCTTCAGAAGATGTCCGTCTCCCTATACGTCGCTGCTGCTTCTACCAAAATATCTTTCTTGCTGCATTTCTTCTGTCTGTCCGACTCTGATCCCGTTCCATAACAACCAGCCCACATTTTTGCCATCACGAGACGACACCACCGTCATTATTTAAATCCCTCTGATCAATAACTGGGCACTTCCCGCTCCTGCTCTTCTTCCAGCATAGCGTCCGGGTAACCTACGCCTGGCTCTAACTAAAACCCATCCATCCACCTCCTTTTGCGCTCGTCTATCAGACCCTCCAACGAAACCTGCTACTCTGATGGTAATCCCCTGTCTCTTGCCAAAATCCCAAAATAAGTAACAAACGCCCCCGCAGTTTTTGTTGCCCCGCTGATGAACGCTAACCATTGTTCAAGGTAACTAACTGCACTGTGTGTGTTACTATATTCATTCAAGATTCAGATCCAGGCACATAAGGAAAGACAACGGCCTGCCCTTTTTCCAGTGCTATCCCCGCAAGCAGCTTGTCACCAGGAGCGAGCCCAATCTTTAAGAAGAAAAGTAAATAACTGACGGAAGGTAGCCTATAATTCACAACACGAAAAGCAAACAACTGTCCTTTTCGCACCTAAAGCATAATTTTTACATTCGTATCTCCACACTTTATGTAGCAAATACAAGAGAGTAGTGTCTTACGATTGCAAGTGAGAGACACACGGACATTTTTTTCAACGGCAGAATAAGTAACAAAATTCATGGCTTTCATACATCAACATGCTGGACAACTACACAGCTGTTGTTGGCCCGGGTTGACTACCCCATGCAGACCTTTGTGCAATTGGAATTCACTGACAAGGATTGGATCTGAAGGCTTCTTAACCAGCATGGCGTAGAGTGCTTGCGGAAAATGCGTCTCTTTTTCTCCCTAATATACTTGAAACTTCCCAATTCCACGTACCTATGCATTTTCCAACAGAGGTACTGTGGGTGGACCATACGAATATCTCCATTCCCCACAAGCCAAGCACCTCTCAACCTCAACACTGTTGTCTAGAGTGCAAAACTTACAAGACCAAACCTTTGACTTTGTTCCATTGCTTGCGCATTTCTTCGTTCCACAAGCTTCACAAATAAGAGCCAGGGGCTGTAAAATTTAAATCTGGAAAGTGAGTACCTAATTAATGAAACAAAGAGGCAAAAGGTCGAGGTGGACTGGTCTTGAGATGAATTTATATCCGTTCCATTAACGAAGAGATATGGTTGTCATGTAAGAACCTACGCAGACACTATCAGATGCATTTTTGTTTTTCCTATTTTTCCATTTTTGCATTTAAGCTCTGGATGGACAGATATCCAACAACTGGAAAAAAAAAAAAAAGGACATTTACAACCATTCGCATGTAAATTAAAATTACACAGCAGTTTTTAGAAAACTGATTGGAGAAAACTCCATGGCTCTGCAGTACAGGAAAAAGCAATGGGCACATTTACCTGATTTATTAAGGTGCAAGTGCTGCACTGCCACGACAACTGAAGATCTTTAGTACCACTGCTTTGAGCGTAGCCAAGATTTGACATCAGGTCAGATTCATTATCGCGCACGGTAGAGGATTGAGAACTTTCAGAAGATCCTTCACTTTCTGCAGATTTGGAACCACACCACACATCATCATGTAATCTCCTTTCTGCAGCCATAGCAGCAGCTTGTATTGGGCTCAGGGCGGCCTTAATGCTACTGTCACCACCAAGTCGCATTGGTCCAGATGGCAAAATAGCTGCACGCCGAGCTCTATTTTCTGCAGCTGCCAATGCAGACTGCCGGAGTGATGACAAAGGAGGCTGATGGGAAAAGCCACCCAGTCGTCTACCAGGGAGATCAAATCCTTGCCCAGTGCCTGTAATTCCCTTAGCCATAAGATCTTCACATTCCTGAAAATTGTTAATTAGGTAAATTAGTTGTAGGGGAATTATCTAGCAAGTCAATTGAAGGAAAAACTAACAATTGACACTGTTATTGAGACTACGGAGCTAAATATTGAACTGCAAAATGGAAAATCAAGCCAGGTGTCACCCCTCCCACAAACCTCCCCACCATCCCCCCCCCCCCCAAAAAAAAACCAAAAAAGGTAACTCCCAGCCTGCCAAAACCTAAAGGAAGGTGCCAGGACATCACGAAAAGAAATTCCCATTTATGACAAAATAGGAGAACTTCAGCCAAAAAAAAAAGGTTCAGAGTTGGATCTTTCCCAGTACTAACATAAACATATGAAAGAATGGTAATTGAAACCAGCTCTCACCGTCCTCTCCCACCCCACCCCACCCCAAAAAATAAATAAATAAATAAAATTTTGCACTCCTGCCATTCCGAAACCCAGACAGCAGGAAAGAAATTTCCAATTGTGCAAATACTTACTAGGAGTACTTAAGGGAGAAGCAGTTTCAAGTTGGAATTTTCACTTTACTAAGATAAACGACCACCTTTCTAATTTCATCCAAAAGGTTGTAAAAATCGGCATTGTGGGGACCATATTGATTGTGGCAGAGCTCATGAAGCATGGTATCAAGAATCTGATCATATGGGAAGAAATCCAACTCATTGTTCGGTCGGCGCAATCTCAGCTTAACTTCTGCACCCCCTCCTATATTAAGACCTAAAAGAGACGGATTTGCTGGGCTGCAAACCAAATTCTTTTGATCAGCAAAGTGGCACAACAAATGCTGAAAATGCCTTGAACTGGAGATGTGAATGTGGAAAAGTAAAGCAAAATCATTACCAGAATTCAGAAAGAACTTTGACTTTCCAATTCCGTTTGCGCATAATGGGTTGCACCTGTTTAGCTACTCTTTCAAGAATTTGCCTGGCCTCATTTTCTCGAGTCCTCCTTAAAGGTTTGACTTCCCAGACCTTGTTAAGGTCGTTCAAATCCATGTGAAATGGGAAAATCTTAACCAAGATCATAACAAGTAAGATTCCATCAATTCTAAAACAAAAAAATTCATGATATCCAATTCTGAAGACCTAGAGAAATGCTGTTTATATTAAATCCATCCTTGTCCAGGAAGTCTTCAATTGACAAGCCAAGCTTACAGATCCAAGACATGAATCCTCAAAAATGCAATATCTTAACAATTACAAAAATTAAATTTCTAGAGGAAAGATTTCCATAATGACATTAGGCATTGGATTGACTGAATTTCCGTCCACTACAAAGTTGTTAATGACTATACTATGAGAACTGTGTTTCACAAAAGAGTTAATACTTCTTCATTTGCAACTATCAGGAAAGCAGAGTGTACTTGCCACATATCTATCCGTATAAGAAAAGATGCAACCAGATCACAGTATGAAATTCAATTGGATGCTACCAGATCAAGGCATGAACTCAATTACCTCCCGAAAGCGTACAATCAATTGGTCAATTAACTCAATGTATTGGTTCAATCATTTGGTAACAATATGGCAGTGCGTCTAGCACTAATTAGTGGTGTAAAGGCGCAGAATTGCTTCAGAACATGGGTCGAATAACTTCCAATTTCAGAGGCAAAATAAGTTATGTCTCTATATCCACAAAATTTGATCTTTCTACAGATACAGAGCGACAACATGGGCAGCCAGGATAATTTCCAATTTCCGAAGCAAACTCAGTATGTCCTCAATACCCATAAAATAGAGTATGATATCTCAACAGATAGAGTGATGAGTAGCATCCACGGCCACGAATTTAGAGGAAAACAAACATCGAAATATAAAACCCTAATCAAAAGTTTCCATCTTTTTTTAATGTTGTCCCTTTTTACTTATGATTTCTTAATCTTGTCCGTTGAACAACATAAAGATGAGAAATTGTGGTACAATTTTTAGTAGTAGGCAGCATTTAGAGAAAGGGGAGGGGAGAGCAAGAAAAAATTGAAAAAGGAAAATACCTGGACGAAGACAATTTTATTGCAGAACCAAAAGCTTCAGCTAAAGTGCCAATTGGTGTCTGTCCAGTCGACACATGAAATTCAAATCACCACCTACTTTTGGTGTACGAGGGTTGGAGTTCAAATGTATGTAGCTATGAATACCCAACACCCTTTCCCAACTCAGCCCTTTCTATTTTACTACTGGTCATTAGAAACCTGAACGTCTGCTCCGTCCTGTACAAAGGAAAAAAAAAAAAAAAAAAATCTTGTAACTGTACAAATTGTAGGCGAGCGGCTGGCCAAATATGATCCACACCGCAACTGTACTGTCGAGACAGGAACTCCGGCCACTGGATTGTTTTTTTACAATCGTGGACCTGTTTGCTAAATGATGGGCCTAGCCCAAACATTTTTGTTATTCCCTTTATTGCTCCCCCAGTCACCCTTCTTCTCTTTTTTTTCATTGGGTTTTAAGGTTGGGGGTGGAATTTAAATAGTCCTCTGATATAGTACTAGTACGAGTCAGCACACCAACGACGTCGTTCTGAGAATATGATAATTTGGCCTTTCCTACGCCACCGAATCCGATACAATAGGCGGTGTGGTTCGTTCCCTGATGAGAGATGATGCTAACTAAACTAACTGAATTTCCCGCCAAAAACATACGTCTGCAGTGACTCTTTTCTCCACTCCCTAGTCCCTCCTCCCTCTGCTGCTTTTACCGGAATCCAACAACTCAAACAAAACCCACCGCCGCCCTTCCTCTCTGCCTCACCAACTGCTTTTCAAGAAACCCCCCCCCCCTCTTCCAAAACAAAAAAAAAAACGACACCCAAGAAAAAGAAAAAAACATAAATAAATCCAATCTTTCTTCGTCACCAGGCAACAATGGCTAAACTTCCTTACTCTTACTCTCCAATTCTGACGTTTTTAATGGTTGCCGCTTTCATTTCTTTGCCGAAATCACTTTCCCAGCAGAGTAATTCTCTCTCTCTCTCTGTCTCTCTGGATTCCTCATTTTTTACACCATCCAAGTTCTTTCAACTTTCTGATGAATCAGCCATTTTCCTGAAATAATTGACCTATGATGATTCACATTTTTGCCGTTTTTCAGGTCCAAGCTACATGGGTTTCGTGTTCAATGCCACGGAGATGCCATCGGAGGATTACTATGATTACATCATTGTTGGAGGAGGCACCGCCGGCTGTCCTCTGGCCGCCACATTGTCTGAGAATTTTCGAGTTCTTGTTCTAGAAAGAGGCGGTGTTCCTTATGGCATGCCTAATCTGATGACCCAAGAAGGTTTCCTCTCAACTCTCGTCGATCTTGATGCCACTGATTCCCCTGCTCAAGCTTTTACTTCTGAAGACGGTGTTCCCAACGCCAGAGGCCGAGTTCTTGGAGGCAGTAGCGCAATTAATGCTGGTTTCTACAGCAGAGCCGACCCGGATTTCTTCAGGAATTCACTAATCAACTGGGATCTTCGGGTGGTTAATCAATCCTATAAGTGGGTTGAGAAGGCCATTGTGTTCAGGCCTGAACTCAGGATCTGGCAATCTGCCATTAGGGATGGATTGCTGGAGGCTGGAATCGGTCCTTACAATGGGTTTGCTTTGGACCATGTTGTAGGCACCAAGATTGGGGGTTCCACTTTTGATAGCGCTGGTAGAAGGCACAGTGCTGCTGATCTTCTTAGCTATGCAAAGCCTTCTAATATTAAGGTGGCTGTATACGCCAGTGTTGAGAGGGTTCTTTTCGCTTCTTCACCGGCTTCTGCAGCGCCCAGACAATCAGCGATTGGGGTGGTATTCAGAGACAAGACGGGTCGGTTCCACCATGCAATGCTGCGGGAGATGGGAGAAGTTTTGCTTTCTGCAGGAGCTATTGGCAGCCCACAGCTTCTGCTCTTGAGTGGGATTGGACCAAGGCCTTATCTCTCCTCGTGGGGAATACCTGTAGTGCATCACCATCCTTACGTGGGTCAGTTCCTATATGATAATCCAAGAAATGGCATTTCCATTGTGCCCCCGGTGCCTCTTGAACAATCATTGATACAGGTGGTGGGAATTACCTCTTCTGGGGCTTATCTTGAAGCTGCCTCAAACGCTATTCCATTTGCTTCCCGTGCTCACAATTTTTTCTCTAGGACTCCGCCTTCTCCCGTCTATTTTACCGTTGCAACCTTGATGGAGAAGATTGTTGGACCCCTGTCAGCTGGTTCTCTCAGATTGGCATCAACCGATGTCAGGGTGAACCCTATAGTAAGGTTCAATTACTTCAGTGACCCTGCTGATACTGAGAGATGCGTAAATGGGACGAGAAAGATTGCTGATGTACTTAGAAGCCGCTCCATGGAGGATTTCAAGTTCTCTCAGTTGTTTGGGGATCGAGATTTTAGGTACATAGGACCACCATTGCCTGTTGATCTATCGAACGACAGGCTGATGGGAGAGTTCTGTCGTCGAACGGTCAATACCATATGGCATTACCATGGCGGCTGCCTCGTAGGAAAGGTGGTTGACAGAAACTTCAGGGTTCTGGGAATTCAGGCGCTTAGAGTTGTTGATGGTTCAATATTCACAGTGTCACCTGGAACTAATCCTCAAGCCACTCTTTTAATGCTGGGCCGGTGAGTTCAATGGTGATTGATTAAAAGAAACTGTTAAAAGACAGAGACTAATTTCCTGTTGTTGTGTTTCGACAGGTACGTTGGCATGAAGATTCTGAGGGAGCGAACGAGATAGAAGAAGCGCTTGACTTCATTTGCTGTTCGGATCGATCATTTCTATCTTCGCCAAGCTAAAAGCATTAGATAAATACTACTTTCTCTGCTGTTGTTGTATATTGGCTTTTCCGCTGACATCTGGTTTGGTTTTGTCAACGAGATGGGTACTTTTGTTGATAATATGTTTTTCAAAAGTAAAAAAGAAATGCAAATTTAAGAAGTTGAAAGAGCTCATACGTTTGAATTTCGCAGCTCTTTGAAGTTTTTCAGGTTGATGATTCTTCTTTCGACGCCCGCTGTAACTCTTGTGTGAATTGTACCTTAGGATATGTAAAAGGTTGAGCTTTGTTGGCGACCCTGTAACCAGATAGAATAAATTACGAGAAAGAAAAATCTTTTTTGTTTTCCTTTTAAACCATTCAGTGGTTGGGAACTTGAACCATTAGGGTGGGAATAAGAAGCGGTGGTGGTTGAGATTCCTTTGTCAATCGGCTAATGATGGATTCAGAATGCAGTTTTAGGGTCAGGAAAAGTAAGCCTCAGAAATTTTTTGTGTTCTGGCTCTGTTCCAAGTTCCAATTCTTCTAATTTAGCAACCAATTCCAATCAAACAATAGCATATTCCGTGCTTCTACATTCAACGTTCTCCTATTTGCTGGACCTGATCGAATCAATCCTAGAGAGGTGGTTGCCCTTGCCCCCCCCGGAGCTGGAAAGTTCAAATGGTTTGAAACTTTGAATTATGGAATAGTCTGGCGGTGGGCCACCCTTTCTGTTACTCCTCTGCTTGTGCAGTGCTGCGCTGTGCCGGCTGGTCGGGTTGGGTGGTATGTATACTTAGAGCATCCAAGGCAATGTATAACGGGGGTATAATGCCCTCGTTACATCAAGCCGTGCCGCGAAGATTACACGTACAATACAGATGATGCGTGTCATGGAAGATGCTATGGCACCCAAACGGCATAACAACACCAGCAAACATCCAAATATAGCCAAAATGAGACAGCATTTTACTTGGTCATTTTTTGAAACATTTTACGACGGTCATTTTTTGAGCCAATCATTTTACAACGTCCTTGTTTTACAACGACTATATTTTAGCAACGGATAATTTATTTTACTTCCTATAAATATACAAAGTAATTTTTTTTATTTCACCTCACAATTGTTTACTACATTATCTCTCCTACTCCCTTATTCATTACTTTCAATCTCTTTACATAATTTTATAAATTTCATTATTTTATCATTATGGATGAGAATCTCAATAGTTTTAGAAATATGTTAAATAGTCCAAATACATTTATAACCACATTTTCCATATCAAATTCCCATGTATCCTTCACCTAATTATTTTAATTCTTCTATGAGAAATCACTATACACCGGAGTATTATAACCTTGGTATGGGTTGTGGAGGCTCAACGACTCCGTCGGAGATAAGGAAGGATTTTGATTTCGCCGGTCAACAAAATAATGCAATACCAACGGAGTCAATTTCGAATTCTCAATTTCCGCCGTATTCAACACAACGTGAGGTAGAAAATATAAATCTCACAAATGAGGCGGTGGAAGAACCTGACGATAAACGCGTTCCATGGAGTGTGGATGATGACAAATGCTTGCAAATGCTTGACTCACAATTTCAAATTGCAGCATTGTGAGTAACTCTCAAAATGGAAACGAGTCGTCGACTATTTCAATGAGAATCGAAAATCTGAACTACCATGAAAATATAAAGTAGTGAAATCATAGTGACATTGGTTGAGTCGGATGGTTAATGAGTTCAACCAATATTACAACAGATTGGTTGGCAAACATCATAGCACGTGGGAATGATGATCAGATCAAGCAACACGCATGTGAGCTATTTCATCATAATAATAAGAAGTATTTTTTACATGAACATATGTAGGTGTTGTTAAAAAAATGATTTGAAATGGAAGGTAGATTCTCCTATGCATCGTTCTTCAAAAGATAAGGACCGATGAAAACGGGACATACATTTCTTCGTCCAATGCAGATTCAAAATTTTGGCATTGATGATAATGAAACACGTGAAGTTCGCCCACCTGATAAAAAAAACATCAAAGAAGGGATGAGAGAAATGCAATAAGAAACTAGCATGATGATGATGAAGAACCAACAATCTCTGTGACTCGAGGTTTAGTAAAAATTTTTCACCATTATTTTCAAAGGAATGCAGAACTATGTGATCAGGAAGTACATCATCAACTTCGGTCGGATTTGGTCGAGCATATTTTGGAACGATTCGGAGGCAATAATAATGAAAAGTAGTATTCGTTATATTATTATTTGTATTTTATTTAATTTTAATATTATGTCATGGAGTTAAATTCAGTAGATAGTGTATTATTAATTAATAATGAATTATTATGATATTTTCACCTTTGAGATGTCACGTCAATAATTTATTTTTAAAAATAATTGCTTTTAAAATAATAAAATTATTTATTTATGGGTTATGAGTTGTGCATTATTAAAATAATAAGAGGAGAGAAAATATAATAAAAGAGGAGATAGTGAAATGTTGATGTGGCATGTGGATTCATGCTATTATACTCTGTGAACATAATCCATTGTAAATGAGAGTGTAATAAAAAGAGAAGATAGTGAAATGCTAATGTGGCACGTGGATTACACCCTGAAGGATGTGTGTAAATCATTGTGGATGTTGGAGGAGGGACTGAAACGATTGTCAGAGACAACCGTTCCGGAAGGTTCACGGCCATGATTAAGCCAAAAAAATTTGTGCGGCTCACATCACTCCTTGTAACTCAATTTTCACGCCGTGTGGGACCCATAAAAATGTTGTTTTAGTGTTATTCGCTGTTGTTCTATTATTACACCTTATACAGATGATATTACATCGTTTGCAAATAGTGTTATACCTTCCAAAATGGTTGCTCTGACAACCGTTCCAGCCCCGGATCCGTGGATGCTAATAGTACTACTAACCAAATTGCAAAGACCTACATTTTGATTATGATAATGATGATGATGACGACCAGCCAAGGCGCCGCGAGCTCCCAATAATTTTTTTGGGAATGGTTGATTGACTTTGATTTGTTCAAGTCATTTTTTGTGGTCCTATATGAGGAATACCTGTTCAATATATCTTTTTAAAAGAAGAGGAGTCCAAAAGTAGTTGAAGAAGGAAAGAAGCTTGGCAGAACGTGATTGGCCGATGAGAGTATTATTGGTGTTTCCACTTTCAATTCATTTATTCTGGCCCGCCGGAGCAACCCACCGAAAATAACAAGACATTCCATTCAATTGGGAAAGTGATACACCATCACTATTGCTTACTACTTTTTTTAAAAATTTTTTTTTAGAAGAAATAAGTTTCTTCCAACTTGAAATTGTTGGATGATAATTTTGTGACAAATAAGCTCTTAAACAAAAAAATGCATAGTTCAAGGGTTTCTATCAATTTTGAGCGTTAAATATAGAAATTAGGGACAAAACCTTTCAAACAAAAAAAAATTTAACCTACTATTTGGTTAAAAAACCAACTGTATTAAGTTAACTAATAATATGGAATTTAATGTTCTTCCTTGCCTTTCACCTTCCACATTTTCTAACCCTGATTTGATGAAATAATCAGTCAACGAAACTTTTTAGGTAATTTTCGTGGGTTGATTTTTTTATGTAGTCAATTTTACCCCTAATCCCATCACCTCTAATGGCTAAAATTGATAGAAATCCTTAAACTAAGCTTTTATTATTATTATTATTATTATTCAAATGCCTTATTTGTGACAATTTATAGTTAATGGGGTCAAAATCATATGAAAGCAATAGTTTAGAGGCTGTCCGAAAAATTTCCTCATCCTCAAATATCTTAGATCAAAACCACCCCACAATGCTCTGTTATGTTTTAGTTAATAACTTCTAGGCAGAGCTTAGTCAATAAATATCTAAAAATTTTGAAGCATTTCATTACAAATTTTGTTATATCTATCTATAATCATTTCTAACCATAACTCATCTAAAAGCATATTTTGACAAAACGACTCACTCTAAACATTGTAACTACTAAAGTAACAACCATTTGATGAGAAAAAGGTTGAAATACCACCATTTGCTTTAGTACTTAAAATTTTATATAAAATTATTTCATAAAAGAAGTATTTATGAATTGCACACACATCGTTTTTTATGTGACTAAGCATTAATAATATAATTTATAAAGTGGGAGCAGGAGGAGAACTGGTGTAAACAATCCGGCATCACCTCTAAAAATTTCGTTTTTACTCTTCAAATAACTTCTCATCGCTAACCCACTTCAACTCAATTACTAACATCACACGACCAATAAAACACATGTTTATTATTTAAACATAACCGTGTACACATAAATTGTTTGATTTTTTATATTGTTTTGTATTATTTTTTAATTTACTACCACTGGTTTTTGTTGTAAATAATGAATGTACTACATTCATTAGTTCCACAAAAAGATTCTTTCTTTTTTTTTGTTTTTTGTTTTTTTTAGCAGTTGTACGTATCGAAAATAATTTGCGGGGAACAAACAACTATTGCATCCTCAGGAAAGGGGTGGCCATCCTTCTACTCGTACACTTTTGTGAGTGGAATCTGGCAGCTCCATCAATGCCGAAGAAGCTCGACGATGGCGCGTTAGTCTGGAAGACGAGACAACGACTTCAAGCTATCTGTCACTTCGATAACTACACAAACGTGCGCGATAAAATGACGACGACGACTTCAATTCTCCCTCCCCCTTGCGTGCTTGTGGAGAAAATCCTCGGTGACCGATCCACAGCCAACAACACCCTAAAGTTCCAACGACAAAATACTGGCAGCAGAAAATGTGAGAAAACAAGAAGCACGAGCATAATTGTGGTACGTTTTAATCACACTTTGCCCCCCACTTACTCAAGAAAATTGTACACACACCCTTGCCTCCCTCGAAATTGAATCCGGTCAGTATTACATAACACCGACAAACCTTACCTTCATAGGCACCAGCGAAGGAGGATCGCCCGACTGCCCATGTTGCATCAATAATGTAAGTGCCATCCATACAAGGCACAAACACACATGGTGGAATAGTCAAGTTTTTTGATTAAGAAGAGGGTATCAAAATAACTTCTCGTGTTATCGGTTAGTTGTTATAATAGAGAGTTGTAGAAATTATAATTGAAATGAAGTTTGGATTGCATTTTTCTAGACTTTTTTTTTTTGTAAAAAAATTACCGTAACGATTTGATATATGTGAGATAGAAAGATGATTGAAAAATATATTCACGAAGAACGTAGCAATTTTTCTTTGAAAAAATGGTCGTCCAAACAAGGTCTTGGTGGTCCAAATTGATGGATAAGGGCATTTGAAATGTTGCGAAGAGTCAATTGTCATCCGTTACTTATTATAGAGTTATAGGAATTGATGATTTGCGTCATCGCTTACTTATTGTACGAATTACTGTAGCACAAAATCGTCGTCTTTTCGCTGCGAATTCATCCACACTGTTTTTTTTTTTATTTTTTATTTATCGCAACAATAGATTTCTATAACCTAATCTAGCCTATTCTAGAGGGAGGGGAGAGAATACTCGATGCGAGTAGAAACTCTATCCACATTGTTCTTTCTTTTCGTTGTGTGTGTGTGTGTGTGTTTTTTTTTTTTCTTTTTAAGTTTTGTCCTAGGCTCGACTCAAATGATGCTGGAATTCAACAAATGTTTAAAGTGGAAAGCTGCAATAGTAAAATAAACTTAAGCCAACGGGACGACTGGACGGACTCTCTACAGTCTACATCAAGTATTAAAATTTTTCTTAATTTATAATTATGATCGTACAATTTCCAGCCTCGTACAATTCCCGTCCTCCACCAAACCCCCGCATATTCCCTCACTGCTCTTCCTCTCTCTGGCATTATTTACCTAAAATCGCACCACTATTTATACACCCACCACACCTACTCAATTCTCTGGACTTTGTATGCATACTACTACGTATGACAGGATTGATCGTCTCCAACAACCCTTTCTTATTTTTTATTTTTTTTAGAGATTAGAAGAGGGAACCCAACCCCAGCCCAATAGCCAAACCCAAAAAAAAAAAAGAGAGAGAGAGAAAGAAATGCTAACACAGCAATCACTACTCTACGTACAATTATAACACATAAACCCGGGCCCCGCCGGGGGGGGGGGAGAGAGAGAGGGGCATGGGGTTGGTTGGGGGCATTTGTGATGGCGGGCGTGGGGCAAATATTTATACGAGGAAGCCCATCATTTTGTTTGCCTAGTGCCTACGCAGAGCACCGGAAAGACTGAAGAGAGAGAAAGAGAGGCGCGAGAAAAAGGAAAAAAAAAAAAAAAAGAGAGACAGCTCCGCACAACGAAGATGGCTTCCTCTGCAACAGCAGCAGCTGCAGCATTCATTTCTACGAAACTCATAACTCAGCAATCCTCGGACTTACCTCCTACTTCTGCTCCTACTCCTACTAGTAAGCTTTCCTTCCTTCCCACTCCCTCCAACAACTCTGCTTCCTTCAAACTCCTCTACGCCCCAAATAGAAATAGGTCCTCTCCTCCTGTTCTCAACGTTCTCAAAACCGCCGTTGAATCCGCCTCCATCTCCTTCTCCGACCCCACCCCTCGCCGTGATTCAATCCTTACCCCTCCCAAACCCACCATTCTTGTCTCCGAGAAGCTCGGAGAAGCCGGCCTCCAGCTCCTCCGCACCTTTGCCAACGTCGATTGCTCCTACAATCTGTCCCCCGACGACCTCTGCGCCAAGATCTCCCTCTGCGACGCCCTCATCGTCCGCAGTGGCACCAAAGTCACCCGACAGGTCTTCCAGGCTGCTCAGGGCCGTTTGAAGGTCGTCGGCCGTGCCGGTGTTGGAATTGACAATGTCGATCTGCAGGCTGCCACCGAATTCGGCTGCTTGGTCGTCAATGCCCCCACCGCCAACACCATTGCTGCCGCCGAGCATGCCATCGCCCTCCTTGCTTCCATGGCTCGCAATGTTCCTCAGGCTGATGCCTCCATGAAAGCTGGTAAACCAAAATTTTCAGTTTCATGTGCAAAATTACTCGACTCTTGTGGAGTACTATTATTACGTATCATTCATTCTTTCTTCTTCTTCTTTTTTTTTTTTTTAAAAAAAATATTTTCTTGGATCAGATCAGTTTTTAAAAACGCGGCTAAAATAGTTGTTGGATGGGATCGGATGTTTCTATCCGTCTTCTTCTTTTTGTATGGTAATAATAATATTTTTTTTCCATGCGTTGTGCTCAAGTTTTGGCTTACTCGGCAGCTACGTACTGACAGACCGTTGGACATGTATTTTGGTGTAAATATATTAGCAGCTGTGGGTTTCTTGTACACTTGATACTCTCTTTTACTTTCCACGGCTGTTACTAGTAGGCTCAGTTTTTGATCCTGCAACATCAGAAGTTTATGATGTTTCACTCGTCAAACCTTCCTACTTCTCCATGTTGCTTCTTTTTTTTTTTTCTGCCCTTCGAAGTTTTTAAGTTTTTGGTCTCCATGCTGTTGATAGTCGGAACTGACTTCTGTACAGAAGTTTGGGCTTATGCTCAGTTATTCTGACTACGAATTACCCCAAATCTGCGACAGCCTTCCAAGAGTATGAAATAAATACTTGGTGATATATGAAATAAGTACAATTTGTGCAAATTACTTGGTTTACCCCGATATTGTGGTTGTCAGATATCAGCTGTTCTTTTAAGGGGAACTGGAGGATTTGCTTTTAGGTAGCATAAGCAGATTCACCAACTGTTATAGAACAACGTCGTGCCTTTAGTAAATTTTGCTGCCAATACAATGTCATATTTGCTCGGAATTCAAATTTGGTCTTCTACTATAAGGTTCATATTGACGGTTACGCTTGGACATATGTAGTTTAGAGCTTCAAATTGGAATTGAACAAGTTTGCAGAGCAATGTGATTTTCCAATACAGCATTTTATTGTAGTTAGATTTTACTTGAACGTGCAAAAACCATGATTTTTCCAGGAAAATGGCAACGTAACAAGTACGTTGGTGTTTCACTGGTTGGGAAAACACTGGCTGTTATGGGATTTGGAAAAGTTGGTTCTGAAGTTGCAAGGCGAGCAAAAGGCCTTGGTATGAATGTTATTGCACATGACCCCTATGCCCCGGCAGATAGAGCCCGTGCCATTGGTGTGGATTTAGTCTCTTTCGATGAGGCAATTTCTACTGCGGACTTCATTTCACTTCACATGCCTCTTACTCCTGCTACTTCCAAGATATTTAATGACGAAACATTCTCAAAGATGAAGAAAGGAGCACGCATTATAAATGTTGCAAGGGGCGGTGTCATTGATGAAGACGCATTAGTTAGGGCCCTTGACAGCGGTACAGTTGCACAGGTATGCTCATCGCGGTTTAACTCTTATTTCTTTTGGTTTTACAGGTTAGATTTTCCATATATCAACCTTTCAGATGTGACAGTCAAAGTTGGGTTAGCCTTCAGTTTGTACCTTTGTCAGTTACAAAAAGTTCTCTTAAGAGTGTGTTTTCCTTTGCTTGCGATATTATTTTGTATGACTTTAATCCAAACTCCGGTGCTTCGTTCTACCACTCAGCCGTGTTTTTATCCTGGCATGCAACAGGCAGCACTTGATGTGTTCACAGAGGAGCCACCGCCAAAAGATAGTAAATTGGTGCAACATGAGAATGTCATTGTTACACCACATCTTGGAGCAAGCACAAAGGAAGCACAAGTATAGATTTCTGTTCTTTTGGGATTATTTTCAACTGTAAATTGACTGTCATTTCTTACTTTATCATCCTTTTAAACACATTCAGGAAGGCGTTGCAGTTGAAATAGCTGAGGCCGTTGTTGGTGCATTGAAAGGGGAACTTGCGGCAACTGCTGTAAATGCTCCTATGGTTCCTGCTGAGGTAATCACTTAAAGGCATTGATGTTTCTATGACCCTTATTTGTTGTCTTCCATTTGGCTGAGGTGATCACTAGAAGACATTGATGTTTCTATGACCCTCCTTCATTGTCTTCCGGTTGGCTGCTGTACTCAGGTGATGTCAGAGTTGGCTCCCTATGTTGTCTTAGCTGAGAAGTTAGGAAGACTAGCTGTGCAGTTAGTAGCTGGTGGGAGTGGCATCCAATCTGTGAAGGTCGTCTATAGATCAGCTCGGGACCCGGACAACTTGGATACCAGGCTTCTGAGGGCCATGATAGTGAAAGGCATTATAGAGCCAATATCCATCTCATTTGTAAACCTGGTAAATGCTGATTTCACAGCAAAACAGAAGGGCCTTCGGATTAGCGAGGAACGAGTCTTTGTTGACTCCTCCCCTGAGTACCCTGTCGACTCAATCCAAGTTCAAATTAGCAATGTTCAATCTAAATTTGCAAGCGCATTGTCAGAGACAGGAAATATTAGCATCGACGGCAAGGTGAAGTATGGAATCCCTCATTTAACAGGTGTGGGATCATTTAGTGTGGATGTTAGTTTGGAAGGGAATCTGATACTGTGCCGCCAAGTTGATCAACCCGGAATGATTGGGAGAGTTGGGAATATTCTTGGAGAGAGCAATGTCAATGTCAGCTTTATGAGCGTAGGAAGGACGGCTAAGAGGATAAAGGCAATCATGGCCATCGGAGTAGATGAAGAACCTGACAAGGATACCCTTAAGAAGGTGGGGGAAGTGCCTGCAGTTGAAGAGTTCGTGTTCCTTGAACTGTAGAGCGCTTTTGCTGGTGACATGTTTTGGTGTCTTTCTGAGGATTATTTTGAGAACAAAAGGTGACTGCTGCTACCAAAACCATGTGTTGCGCTCTATCTACTTCCAGAAGGTGAGTTTTCACGGAAACCCTGTTGTAACTGTTCATAGGGATATAATTATCTGTAGCAAAATGTCAGGAAGTGATTGTTGTTGCTTTGTTTTCATTGTGGAACATCAATTGCGGTCTACTGCTGTATATTGGCTTGTATTTTGTGTTTTTTCTGTGGGGCGGGCGGCCCTTTCATAAAATTTCATGCATTCTGCTTCGTATTCAATCTTCGTTTCATGATATGTGAACGAAATGTTCATTCAAGAAAATATTTAGATCTGACACACTAGTGTTCTCCATTTAGCCTTTCCCAATCTGTGATCCAACTTGCGCTATATCTTATCAGTTAAAACAATTCGATTCAACAACCATTGCAGGTGAGTTACCAACTTTGAGGTTCTATCAAGCTTCATTTAAATCCTTTCAGTTAGGATCATATGTTCCAAAGACATAGTCATAGTCAACCACGATAGGTAGAATACCCCCAAATAACTCCGCGCCCCCCCTTGGCCTCCGCCTCCACCTCCACCTCCGTTACCGTCACCATCACACCCCTCCTCTCTCTCTCTCTCTGCAAAAGGACAAGAAGAGCCAAAAAAAAAAGGACCCTTTGCTTCCTTCCAAGTTCTAACACCACTTTCTAAAACGTTTCGTAAGCTCTTTGTTCAAAACTCCAAATGTCGTTTCTTGTCCAGACTGCGCTTACAAAAAGGACTGGCATTTACCAAGTTGCTGCGGATGAAATGAACGTCAAGAAAACTTAAAACATCCTAAAAGACACAATCGGATGATCAAGTGAAAAGGCACTACCATCTCTTCTTAAACTCCAAATCCATTGTCATCATTAGAGAACTACTACTCAAAACACAAACATGTTAAAATTTTTTATAAGAGCAAGTAGTCCCAGCATCCCAAAAGAGGAAATACAACACTTAAACGAAAATAATAATGAGCCTAAAGATTATCCCTAATTGGCTAATGACGAAGGAGAAAACATAATAGGCAATTGAATTTGAAGCCATTGCCCAATTCATACAACAATTCTGGAAGATACAATTTGGCTTACCAGCTCATACTAAAAGTTAATAGCTGAGACATAAAGCTATGAATAAGAGAAAAGCTATTGAGTATCTAGAATACATCATCACTGAAAATAAACCATCCAAGTGCGCTGGTAGTAACTGAAACATTCACGAACATCTAGGCATCAAAGCCAGGAACATCATTTACCCCTGCAAAAAACGAAATGCAATATGAAATCAGCAAAATTCAAGAAAATGCAATGGTCTTATGTGTTTCAGGATAGCTTATTCTATACATGGGCTTCACGAGAGAGAGAGAGAGAGAGCTTAGCCATACGAGTTCATCATCAATGTGATATTGTCCCCCTTCAGAAGTATCCTCCCTAAACAAAGGCAATATAAACACCAGAGAAGTGATTCAAAGAAAGAAGCATGAAAAATCAGGTAAAGGATGGAAAAAAATGCACATTTCAGTTACAGACCCAATTGCTTCGTGGTCTTCTTCTTTATGTTGACTTCCTCAGCATCTTCCAGGACCAAATTCATGTACTCATCAAAACCCTGTCAAAATAAAGAACAAGAGCTGTAAGACACTAAATCAGCATTCCCTTCGACTGTAATATCTTGTGGAACAAAGGAGTAGAGATAAGATAATGCCGCAACAAAACCCCAAACGTAGGTGAAACTGGATAGATAACCTCAAGCAAGATTAGTAAATAATTTTAATAAAAAAAAAGGAAAAAGAAGGCTTACAATGATGCGGCCTTCAATCCTCAAATCCTTCTGCTCAAAGAGCCAAATCTGAATTCGAGCTTTCTGCCAAAGTCGAAAGAATGGACGTCACACTACTAACAAGTAATCCCCAACATGAACTTGTTTTTTGCAGGCTGAATATGAACAATTGACCAACAAAATATGCGTTTAATTACAAACAGTAAGAAGAAAAAGGAAGAAGATAACTTACGCTTTGAAGAAACCTGAATATCAGGTTCTGCATCCGCACCCAATTAGACCCCAAAAAAAATCAACTGTTCAGGCCAAAGCAAAAAAAAAAGGAAAGAACGAAGAAACGAAAGTGAGTTTGGAGTCAGTGACGACGTACGATAGGTTGGGTCATAATCCTCTGAACTTTGGTGCTAGCCATGGCTGCTGCTGCTGCTTCTTCCCGCTCAGTCGCCTTTCAACCAACCAGCTTTTGCCCTCTGCGCCCCGAAAACCCTAACCACAGACGGCTCCCCCGCTTTCTTCACTTCCTAAAGATGCCGATCAATAGACTCAGGTTTGGGCTGTGTTTTGTACACTTACTCTATTGGGCTCCTGGGCCTCTTTCAAACTTTTTCTGTAAGCCGTTGTTGTTTCCTTGGACGACATTTCTGCCAACGCCACCACACTTGCTTGATCATTCATAGTCCCCCTACGATTTTCATCAAATCTGTTATCTAAATAATTCTAATTCCCCCGCCAAAATAAAATGATAGCCTATTGCCATTTGTTTGGTGTATTTGGCCTCACTTAATTAATTGTGGTGCATGCACATTGAATTGTGTTTTCTAGATCTGTTCTCCGATTTTTGAGTGTGTTTGGATACGATGATATTATTTGGAATGACTATTGTAACACTTTTTTGTAATGTGATATATGCGAGATAAAAAATTGTGTCGAAAATTGTATTTGTGATGCAGGTAAATAATTTGGAGCCACATAAATTTAATATGCTCGTGCATATATTTGTTACATAAATTCAAGTCCACAACTGCTGCGCTGGCTGACAATAACAGAATTCCTAATCATTGATTTACAGTGATTTTATATTTTCATCAAACAATGTTGATAGTAAAATTTTATTTACAAACATCTTAGAGTCGAGTAGATGTTCTGATACAATTTAAATACAATAAGAGCTAAGTTTGACCCTTAAATAATAAACTTATCGAAAAAATCATTTAAAATAGGGAGAAAATTCCAAAAGGAACTTAGTATAGGAGCAGAAGTTAAAACAGACAAATTGTGAGAGGTCTAGTCGAAACTTCAAAAAGGAACCGGGTCTCCGGCTCTCAACAGTAATTCAACCAAAAAGTGGTTTGGTTGGGGTGTTGGGGAAAAGGAAAATTAGCAAACCGAGAAAGGAAAAAAGAAGAAGAGAGGAAGAAATCTCGAGCAAGTAGCACTACAAAATCCAAATCCATCGGAGAGTTGCGTTGCGTTGCGTTGGTGGTTTTGGTGGTGGTCCAGCACTAGCCGTCGTTGTCGTTGTCTTACCTTTGCCTGGGACCGCTAGGGTTTATTTCCGATCGACCTAATAGCGGAGAATCACAATTGCTTCTCAATTTCTTATGGCTGGTGCCGGAATTCACCCCTACCACCAGCAATGGCCTCCGGCCGCAGCTCCTCCTCCGCCTCCAGTCGCTGCTCCTCCTCCTCCACCCCCACCGCATCCTCACCCTGCTCCTATCCCCATGGATAATCATAACCGCCTTCCCATCGATGAGGTAAGATTTCCTTCGACGAATTATTACAGTAGCTGTGAAAGTGATTTAAAAAAAGGGGGTGAAACTTGAAACTTTTTGCTTCTCCCCTAAGGTTCGGACAATTTTCATATCTGGGCTGCCTGAGGACGTCAAGGAGAGAGAGCTGCAGAACCTACTGAGATGGTTGCCGGGATACGAGGCGTCTCAGGTCAACTTCAAAGGCGAACATCCCATGGGATTTGCCCTCTTTGCCACTCCTCAGCAAGCTATTGCTGCGAAGGATGCCCTTCGGGTAATTGCACCTCCAATTTCTTCTGTTATTCCTATTCTACTAGTTGATCCTTCTTTTTCTTTTTCTTCTTTTTCTTTTTAAAACTGTTCTCCTTTTTGTTTTCTTGGGCAAATGATGTATATGGGCTACAGGATTTGGTTTTTGATGCCGAATCAAATTCGATATTGCACACTGAGATGGCCAAGAAGAATCTTTTTGTAAAGAGGGGTGAGTATTTTCCATCTAACTTCAGACATCAGTATTACGGTTCTGAAAGTGCAATTTTTCTCGCCATTTGGATATGTATTTTCTGTTTGTTCTGCAGGGATAGTTGCCGACTCAAATGCATATGATCAGAGTAAACGATTGCGAACTGGTGGTGATTATACGCACACAGGTTATTCAAGTCCATCTCTTTTTCATCCTCCTCCAGCACCTGTTTGGGGGCCCCATGGGTAAACTGCTTTTCTCGCTGCCTGTTTTTCCCTTGCACAGTTATTCTGTTGCATGGAAGCATGACTTCATGTGCATTATTTGGTCGAATATATGTTTGATGATTGTCCAAAGTTGCCTGTAGATATCAAATTTTGGTTTGCTGAGATTATGTTGTATGGCTTAGGTATATGGCTCCAGCCCCCCCACCATATGATCCATATGCTGGTTATCCTGTTGCTCCAGTACCAATGCCTGCTCCTGCCCCTGTTTCGGCTCCAAGCAGTTATGTACCTGTTCAGGTGACCTACATCTATATTCTGTTTTGATACATGTCTCTTAGTTTAGCAGTTTTGTTGTGTTCTAGACAGATAATATGGCTTGAATTTTGCACCCTGATAGTTTGTATCGTTGTTTTGTTTATATTCCATCTGCTTTCATACTATTGGATATATGTCAGGGTGAGGGAGCAAAGTCAAAATACCCGCCTGAAAGGGTTCAAAACCATAATATGTGTAGTTAGAAAGTCTCCTTGGCCAGCACGGCAAAGCATGACGAGTTCCAGAATCTTTGATTAATGTATAAAATGTCATTATTCAGAAAGCTGAATGTATAAAGCTCAATCAGACTACATTTTCTACTAAATTTTGGCTCCAATCCTAAGTCTGTCTCTTTTTAATGGTTAACTTTGTCTTTTGTCTTTTTTTGGGTTTGCATAAATCTTAGGGCATATGAAGAGAGGGCATTACTGGAAATTTTGATGTAGGGGAATTTAGTGCTTTCTTTTGCTTTTAGGTCAAAAAATAGTAATGATACACTTGTCTTTTATATGGGGGGAAGTCGTCATGAGTAGACATGGCCATGGTTTTAGAACTGCGGTTACAGTTCTAGAACTACTGGTTTCGGTTCCTTGGAATGGTGGAACCAAAACCGCACATTATGTGACAGTTCCCAGTAATGGGTTCTGAAACTTCCAGTTCTGGTTCCCGTTACGGTCCTGGTTTTGGTTCCAGTTCCTGTTCCTGTTGCAAGAATAATGTGACAATATATTTAAAATAAAGCATATGTGAAGAAAATAAATATAGAAGAAAGTAGGATTTTGATTTTATTATTATTATTGAATAAGGAATAGAAAAAATGATAGAAACTTCATGAAAAGTACAGCAAGGTGCCCATGAATGCGAATATGCCTGTCCTTCCCCCAGAAAAAAAGGGTAAAAGAGGAAGCTTATTGAAAGGTGGGTTATTGCAATTGCTTTTTGTATATTCATCACCTCGCACTATTGAATGGTAGTAACAATTTTAAATAGAAGACTAGATACAGGATTTTGGAGAAGTTAAGAATATTTCCAAGTTGGACAGCATGGACTTGGCTCAAGCTTTATTTTTTCTCAAATTTTTTAGATGGCTCTGGTTCTATTTTTAGAGAACTGGAACTGGAACCAGAATCGGATCCGTTACCTACGGTTCCTCTCCGGCTCTCAGTTTTGGTTCCAGTCTGGCGCGGTTCCCGGTTCTATTAATTTTTGAGTATTTTCTGTTCTTTATCTTCTTATGCTTCCCCTTTCTGAGGCAGTTCTGTTGCCGTCTTGTAGAACACTAAGGACAACCCGCCATGCAACACACTGTTCATTGGAAATCTTGGAGAGAACATAAATGAGGAAGAGCTCAGGGGTCTTTTCAGCGCGTATGCATCTTTTTCATTTTTTATTTCTCCTTGAGATGTTGAGAGAAGCGAAAATGTTTCTTCAGTGATACTAATTCATTTCTTGTGCTTTGTTTTGTATGACCATAGACAACCTGGTTTTAAGCAGATGAAGGTATTGAGGCAGGAAAGACACACAGTCTGCTTCATTGAGTTTGAAGTGAGTATCCGAGGATGCAATTGCTCTCTGATGCAATTCCTTGGTCTTATAGCTGTTTGCTTTTCTTAGATTGTCATTTGAGTTCTTGGTTTTGTTCTGCAGGATGTCAATAGTGCTACCAATGTGCATCATAATTTGCAGGGTGCTGTCATACCTAGCTCTGGTTCGGTTGGCATGCGGATCCAATATCCTTTGTATATGACTTTTTCTGGACTTAGTTTGCATGCGTGTCTCTACTATGTGTGGCCGTACACACTCTGACATCCTCATTCTCTCTCTAGATTTATATCAACATTTTCTTGCTTTCTTAATCTAGCTAGTTACATAGTTTTGTGTCTCCTTTTATCCTGGCCATTGTTTTTCTCTTAATATTAGAAACGTATTCCAAGAACCCATTTGGGAGAAGGAAGGATTCCAACCATCCAGCAGTTGCTTCCGGTGCTAATGGAGCCGTGCCAACTATGACCTACCAGTAGCTGACTGGCTGGAAGGGGATGTATTCTGTTCTTTATGCTCTGAGCAAAACAAACCACTACATATGATAGGATGCATCGTGCAGCTGTTGCATGCATCCATTTTGTCATCAAGTCATCAGCATTAGCATCTTACATGTTAATGAATGCACGAAATGGTCTCATGAACATATTGTTGGGCCATGTTATATTTTGCTTATGCAGGACATATGCATTCCGGCAATGCTATCTTAGAATGATTCTTAGCTTGATTAGGACTTTTGTTTCTATATATTATGTTAAGGGTGCATGGGATTGTAGCTGTTGAATCTTATGGTTTTCACTCCTCAACTCTTTACAATGTCAGGAATGCTTTTCTTTTACACATGTTGCCTTGCAAACCAATTTTCTCCATGTCATCAATATGTATTATAGATCCCATGGATACCACATGCCATGCCATGTCACAATGAACTGAGGCTCATCCCCAGGCACAATCATCATGACATGGAAATTTTAGAAACCCATATCATAAGTCATGATAATTATACTCAGATCACGTTGCTGTCACTAGCATCTTTCGATAAAGGCTTAAGCTTAAGATAAGTTCATTAGCTCTCTGACGCTCTTGGCGTCCAGGCTTTGCATGATGAGCAAATCCAAGAATCTGGAATGTTGTCCATTCTATTGTTGTTATGCAGGGTCAATTGTTGCTGGAGCTGCTGTTCATTTTGGTGATCTGCTCTAGTTGCTGGATACCAGAACTCCAGTAGGACAGTCTGATTCTAGACGTTTGAGGTTGGCATCTGGTTGAGTAGTTGTTTTTACGTGGCTGGAAGTTGGCTCTGAGCTTAGGAGGCCTTCCCAGCTCTCTGCCTGCAACTTGTTTGAAGTCTAGCGCAGTGAAGTGAGGGAGGGAGGGAGGGAGAATATTGAAACAAGAAAGATTTGAAGTATATATCTACCCTAGCAATAAATGTTGGACGTTTGTGTTCGTTGCCCCGCTTATTTTCTTTTGTTTTAGCCCTGTGATTGTAAAATTTCAGGTTTTGTAGATCAACGTCTCTTGTAATTGATCTCATGTCTCGACTCAAAAAGTTTGGGCAAAGTGCGGCGCTGCGCTTTGTGTAGTCTGAGTTATCCGTGTGCCCTGATGTATAGCATGCAAGGAGGCTGGGAAGGATTTCTTCCTCCCCTACCTCTGTCTGTCGTGGGTCTAAACGTTGAAGATACCCTAAAACCAAACGACGTCAGATGACCTTTTTGGGTTCCTGATCGACTGTGGCCCTTCGTCGTCGGTTGGTGTAAACTGCCTAATCTAGATTTCACATTAGCTAACTAGATGTTCTCATTTTGATCTTGATTTTATAGTTAGCTTGGGGAAAAGTTTATAGTATTGAGAATCAACAATAATAATATTTTACTCGAATGGTTTCTGAAACAGTACAATTTGGGCTGTCTGAAGCAATTCTCTAATAAGTTTGGTAGAGTAATAAATGCTTTTCTGCAGGCGCAGGAGTGAAAGATCATCTCCTAAGATTTCAGACAGAATCACTGACTGACTACTGAATCCTTTTTGAGTTATTCCCAAAGTTAAAAAAATTTGGTGGTCTTTGGGTGGGTTTTGTTGGTGTGTGTGAGAAATGATGGATCCTGTGGCTGTGAGTGATGTGCCTACTTCCACCGCGCGGGATGAGGTGGAAAATGCGAGGAAGAGTTTCAGCGGGAGCTGTAGTGGGTTGGAACTTTTTAACCCACAACCACTACTCTTCTAAATAAATGTGAAACACCACCCCGTTTACCACGTCTTCTTTTATGACTGACTGATTGCTGCTTCGTTTTGTTTGAAAGGTTTTGCTCCTGGGGAAAAAGAGAGTAAAAAGGAAAGAAATCAGTCCGCGGCCGCGCACGTCAACAGAATCCCCCTTCCTTCACTTCACGAAGACTCACTCTGGTTGGTGTATGAAACCGAGTAAGAAGAGGTGCTGTGCTGCTTCCCCTCTTCTCCACTTTACTTCTTATCGTTCAAGCTCTCCACTTTGGTCGCGTCCTATTTGTAGTCTACTCTCTTTAATTGTGATTGGCTTTGCCAAAGGTTTTGCGCTTTTTTAGTGTGAGTGATTGACGAGTCATTTTCAGCAGCCCAAATCCAAATTTCTAGTTTGGACTTTGGCATCCGAAGGTTGCGTCAGAAGTTGATCCCCCATTTTCCAGGAATTGAGCATAAAATACTTTTCCGATTTGTTTTTTTAGCCCTAGTTCTAACACCGATACTATTGTGGGTGGGTAACACCAACTAACGATGTTGATTTCATCTTCAAAAAGTTACAAGTACGGTTGTTGTGTGGTTGGGTGGATGGCAATGGCACACAGTTCCTGCAAGCTCATTCTCCAGTTCCATTACCAAATTCGTATGGTAATGAAATATAGAAACTGTTTCTGCCTATTTGATTTCTCCCAAGTAACCAAAATAGGGCCCTAGTCGTAATTGTGAGAAGGTGGAGAAAAGAGGACGAAGACAGGATTGTTAAAAAAAAAAAAAAAAAAATAATAATAATTAAATTGGGTGGCCCGCATGGCATGGTCACTGGTGGGTTAAATTAACAGGAGCACCGTCTTGTCACCAATTGACGGATCCTTTCTTGTATTGTTTTTGGGCCGATTTAACTGTTAACTCTCGTGATTAGTCTAATTAAGTGTGCGTGAGTTTATTTCAGTTTATGAAAAAAGAGGAAGTTGGGTCAGGGACTGTGTTGTCTGTCAGTCTTCCCGTTTTGAGTGAGTCGTTTAGTAGTTGCTGTCTTTGATACGCTTAATAATAATATACTCCCTCCGTCTCATTTTGATAGTTCTGTTTCTTTTTTTACACAATTTAAGAAAAAGTAGTTAATTTTGTTAGAAAAGTAAATTTAGATTGCTATTTTTCTAAAATATCCTTATTATATTATTCTATCCTAAATTCCTAATACTACTAATAAAAAAAAGTTCCTCCTAACCAACAACACAATAAATAGGAGGAGGATGGTAGAGTAGTAGTAGTCTGTCCGTTAACTCCTATAAAAATAAACAAACCAACCCCCTTCCTCTCATTCAGCTCTCAATGCTCTCTACTGCCACTGCTGCTGGGGCCGATGCCTCGTAACATTCATGACCGTCCACCGCCCCCCTTTTCTTCCACCTCATCTGCTTGCTTACTGCTGCTGCTACTCAAAACTCAAATGCTTTCTTCCCACCACCCTCCTCCTCCTCATCACTCTTCTTCCTATTTCCACTTGGGGTCATGTATTCTAGTAAGCTTCCTGCCGCATTCATCTTTGCAATCATTCTTCCTCCTCTTCCTTCTTCTTCTTCTTCTTGTCTTTTCAGGGTAACTATTTAATTCTCGATAATTCCCTACCGTTTCTGTCGTCTCTTCCCGTAGCTTTTCTGCCTTCCTTTTCGTTTTTTGGGATAAAAAGGGAAGCGAAGACAGAAAAAAAAAGAAAAAAGGATGGCAATATTTGCTGTGATTCGTTTGCTGCGTTTCTTGTGCTTGTCCGCATCTGTATATGCCGTATCTGCTCTCAATTCAGATGGAACCGCTCTCTTGTCACTTCTTAGGCATTGGACGCTTACCCCTCCTTCCATCAAATCTACCTGGAATGCTTCCCATTCCACCCCTTGCTCTTCTTGGGTTGGAGTCCAATGCCACCCCAGTCATCAATTCTTCGTGGTTTCTTTGAATCTTTCCGGCTATGGCATTTCTGGCCAATTGGGACCTGAAATTTCTCGTTTATATCACTTGACCGTACTTGACTTGAGCTTCAACGCCTTTTCTGGTTCAATTCCTTCCCAACTAGGAAACTCCACTCGTCTCCAGCACTTGGATCTCTCTTCCAACAACTTCACGGGACGACTGCCTCTCGCCCTCGGCAACTTGTACCGTCTTTCCTACTTAAGCCTGTACGACAATTCTCTGACTGGTACCCTACCCCGCTCCTTGTTTTCCATCCCAGCCCTTCACACCGTTTACCTCAGCACCAATCGACTGACCGGCACCATCCCATCCAATGTTGGAAACGCCAGCGAGCTTGTGTCTCTGTGGCTCTACGGAAATCACTTGTCAGGGACCATTCCGCCCTCCATAGCAAACTGCACTTCCTTGCAAGAACTCTATTTGGGTGACAACCAGTTGGTTGGATCATTACCGGACGCTCTCGACAGTCTTGAGCACCTGGTTTATTTCGATGTAAGCAGCAACATGCTCGAGGGCAACGTTCCTTTCGTTTCCGGGAACTGCAAAGAGATGGACACATTTGTTTTCTCTTTCAACAACTTCACGGGAAGCATTCCACCAGCTTTGGGAAATTGCAGCAGCCTAACACAATTTGCTGCTGTCAGTTGTGCCTTAACCGGCCCAATTCCTCCCTCTTTTGCCCAACTAGGAAACCTGATGAATCTTTATCTCTCGGACAACAGGCTGTCAGGAGAAATTCCACCGGAGCTGGGACGGTGCGCGTCCTTGGTTGATCTGCGGATAGAGGAAAACCAACTAGTAGGCCAAATTCCAGTTGAGCTAGAAAAGCTCAGCCAGCTGCAGAGCCTGTTTCTCTTTACCAACCATTTGACTGGCGAAATCCCTCTTGGTATATGGAAGATTCAAAGCCTTCAGAATCTTCTAGTTTATCAAAACAATCTTTCTGGGGAGATACCCATCGAAATCACCGAACTAAAGCAGTTAAGGAACCTGTCTCTGTTCGAAAACCAGTTTACTGGAGTTGTACCTCAAGGACTGGGAATTAACAGCACCTTAGTGCAAATAGATTTAACTAGTAACCGATTCACGGGGCCTATTCCTCCGGATCTTTGCTTTGGAAATCAGTTGAGGAAGCTGAACTTGGGCCAAAATGATTTTCGAGGCAGCATTCCGCCTGGTGTCGGAAGCTGTTCTAATTTAACGAGGCTGATTCTCAAACAGAATCATCTCACTGGCATCATTCCTGACTTTGTAGAGAATCCCAACCTTGTGTACATAAACCTCAGCAGCAATAACTTGAGTGGGGAAATACCTATAAGCTTGGCGAATCTAACAAAAGTTACCTCTATTGACCTATCCATGAATAAACTCTCTGGGCCTATACATCCCGAGCTAGGAAGACTTGTGGAGCTTCAGGCCATAGATCTATCTCACAACAGTTTGGAAGGTGAATTGCCATTTCAACTGTCCACCTGTGAAAAGCTCTCGGAACTTGAAGTCAGTAATAACTTGTTAAATGGCTCGATTCCAGCCAGTTTTAGGAGCCTGACAGAGTTATCAACCTTGGGTCTGAGTGAGAATAGATTTGCGGGTGATATCCCAGTTTTTCTGTTTGAATTCGAAAGGCTCTCAACACTGCATCTTGGAGGAAATTCATTTGGCGGAAGCATTCCGGCATCAGTTGGATCACCGCAGGCTGGTGAAAATATGAGGTCGTTGAATTTGAGCAGTAACAGATTGATGGGTCAAGTTCCTCCTGAGCTCGGGAGATTAGACATGCTGGAAGATCTGGATATATCTTCCAACAATCTATCGGGAAGCTTAGGGGTCCTTGATAACATGCACTCATTGGTGTTCATAAACGTCTCCCACAATCATTTTGCTGGTCCAGTACCTGCAACATTACTCAAGCTCCTGAACTCGTCTCCTTCTTCATTTGAAGGAAATTTGGGTCTTTGCGTCAATTGTCTTTCAGGTGGCAGCTCGAGTTGTACGGAGAAGAGTTTCTCGAGACCTTGCACTATTCAATCGGAGAATAAAAGAGGCCGCAGCAAAGTAGGAACGGTAATGATAGCGCTGGGGTCATCATTACTTTGCATCTCACTACTCGGTGGGCTTGCTTACATGTTCCTGCGGAGGAAAGGACCTAAACTGCAAAATGCAATTGCTGCTGAAGGAGGTGCTTCTTCGCTGCTCAATGAAATAATGGAAGCCACGGAGAACCTGAGTGGTAAGTACGTGATTGGGAGGGGCGCGCATGGAACGGTGTACAAGGCTTCATTGGGCTCAGGTAGAGTGTATGCCGTAAAGAAGGTTGCGTCGGCGGGAAGTAGGGGTGGAAGCAAAAGTATGATCAGAGAAATTCAGACGATTGGAGCTGTAAGGCACCGGAATCTTGTCAAGTTGGAAGAATTCTGGTTTAGAAAGGACTATGGCTTGATTTTGTACAACTACATGAAGAATGGAAGCCTGCACGACGTTCTTCACGAGCGGAATCCACCTCTTCAATTGGAGTGGAGCATTCGTTATAAGATAGCGCTCGGCACCGCTCAAGGACTATCATATCTTCATTTTGACTGCGATCCCGCGATAGTGCACAGAGACATTAAGCCTATGAACATACTGTTGGATTCTGAATGGGAGCCTCATATATCCGATTTCGGGCTTGCCAAGCTTCTCGATGAACAACAAGCTGCTTCCATGTCATGCAGCGCAGTTATTGGAACTGTCGGGTATATAGCACCAGGTAATTAATGTAATGTGTTTGTGCCATTGCCATTTGCCAAACTCTATAGATTGTGTTGATTTTTTTTTTAACACAGGGTACTAACTGGTGGTTGTGGTATTTTGACAATTTTGACAGAGAATGCATTCACAACAACAAAGAGCAAGGAGTCGGACGTGTATAGTTATGGGGTCGTTCTGCTGGAGTTGATAACTAGGAAGAAGCCACTGCTAGATCCTTCTCGTTCATTCAACGACGGGGAAGGGGAAGAAGACCTTGTGAGCTGGGTTCGGTCAGTTTGGAATGAAGCGGAAGAAATCAAGGATGCAGTTGATCCAGGGCTTTTGGATGAATTTATAGATTCGAGTGTCATGGAGCAGGCTACCAATGTTCTTTTAGTGGCATTGAGATGCACGGCGAAGGAGCCGAGCAAAAGGCCTTCAATGAGAGATGTAGTGAAGCAGCTCACAGATGCATACCCCATTTCTACTTCTTCTTCTAGAACCAAATCAAATCTATTATGTAGTTATAGAAACTAAACTGACTCCCCACATCCCATTGAGTAGTAGTGTTCATAATCGGTGGATGTTTTTGTTCTTGTTTTTGTTTGAGCAGACTCAGAATGAACCCAGTTTTGTATTGAGAGGACCAAGGATGGAGTGGTGGCAGAGAAAGAGGTAATTGTTACTCTCCACTCACTGCTCCAACGACCAAACTCAAATTACCGGCACACAAGGTTGTACTTCTTCAGAAGAAGAAGTACGACCT